TTTCTTCTGCATGTGCACACATATATATATATAATGGTTCTTTCATGTTCTTTCTTTCTTTATTTCGTTCTTTATCTTTATTCTTTATTATATATATACATATGTGTGTGTCATATATTAAACGCTATATGATATATATATATATATGCATTGTTTTGTGATATGTGATATTTGGATATATGTGGTGCGTAATAGTCCTGTAAGCCATTTAGGGAATCCTTAGCGAATAGATGTGGTTTCGGTGCCCCATGGCATCGCCACCCAGCTGGCTACCGTGCTTCCCATAGAGGTCCCTTCGGTCGCTCACATCGTAGACCTGACCCGGAAAAGCGGGAAATCATGTATATATATACAAAGATTAGTATAATAAAGATATACATGGATATATTACTATATGATATATTACATGGATATTTTATCTTTATATATTATTATCTATGTATATATAAAGAACTATGATAATTACATGGATACATCATATATATATATAAATAACTCCCTGATTTCCCATACATGATATATGGAGTTCCCCTCAGATCTCAGTTTTTTTTTCGCAATTCCCCTATTGGAGGACTTTTTGTCACCAAGAAATGAGCAAACTAATCGCAATATTATGTGGAAGGCACCAAACATTTTATCAACGCAAGTTGCCAGATTTCGTTGAAAGGAATTTTGTAAATCATCTGAGATCTTCGGCAACTGTGTTTTCCATGGGGTAAAGATGTTTGCCAAAGCCGGCCCGGCCAAAGTTGGTGTTCCCGGGGAGCCATGAACAGCCAACAGCGGTCCTCACGATTGACCATGATTGTTCATCAAATTTAAGGGTACCCAGGGTACCCTATTTTCTTCATGTTAATGACTGGATAGCCTCTGGTAAACGTTTACATAACGATGGAAAGATCCACAACTTTTAATGGGCAAATCAACTATAAATGGCAATTTTCAATAGCTTTTTGTATGTTTGCCAGAGGGTAATTTGTGGTGAAGTTTTCTGGAGCGAAACATCCTGTCGGTCATGATGCTGCAGGCACTGCAGGCTGCTCTGTCTTAGTGTTTGGACCACACATTCCTCCAGGACCCGCCCCTTCAAATGTGCAAGGACAAACTGAGGTTCCATAATCAGGGGTAGACAAGACGATACATCCACGGATAAGCAATGCATTTTTGGTGGTCAGAAACCAATCGAGTCACCCCCGCAGGGGTGGTGAAATGTTCAATCTAGACATGACCCAACAGATCAATGATGTATCCAGGTGCCTCTCATCATGGCACTTACCAACCCCTGCTTCACCAGTACACGGCCAGTTCTCCAAGTTGGGAATGTTTTGCTAAGTACCTTCTTAAACATTACCAGCTAAGGAATCACCTCAATCTCCCAGAAAAAAATCATCGGCATAGATCGCGATCGCCATGTTCACTTGCCGGAGCTAAGTGAACCTCCGGGGTTTTTAACATGGTCAGTTTGGTAAGTTTCTAAGTCTGAGCCCCGCCCCGCCGACCTTGCCATCAAAGCTGATGTAGATCTCCCCTCCGTTTTCACCATCGAAGCGCGCCAGTGTTTCAGGGGTCATCCCATCCATGGCTAATCTCACAGTGTGAACCCGAGATTCTCGTCATTCCACGCAAGCTGCTTCATAGTGATTTCCACTTGATGCAGCATTTGAACTCTGAGCATGCATAATACATCATTACTTATATATATATATATTTAATTGTGTATATATATATATACATGCATAATATAGGGTAGTAATATTAATAGTGGAACATAGTATAACCACCTATAATCATCAAGCAGTCAAGCAGCAGGAGCTTTAAGAACAGTGCTCAAATATCGAGATCTTGATTTTCTCTACTCCCTATGGATCCAAATGCTTCCCAACTAGCTATTTGGAGCAAGAACTGGTAAGTACATGAAAATGGTTTGGGCATGGTTACATATGGTTACATCCCATTCTTATTCACAATAGAACCTCATTTTGTGAAAGCATTATCCACTACAGTAACATCAGTTGTTTATTTCGCAGCAGTTTTGATGTTTGTGAAATCCAGGGGCTCAAGGCCAGGTCGTCTGCCGGCCAGTCGACTGGTGTGTACCAAAGCACAAGTGCCCTATGGAAACCCTCCTTGGAAGATGGAAACTTGAGCGGACTCCGGGACACAGCATGGGAAATGTGTCATCGCATGTCGCCAAAGCGTTCTTGAAAGGTAGAAACCTGTAGCAACCAAGGTCTTTTCCCATTATCCACCGACCCCTGCCTAGCCTTGGCCCAGGCATCTGAATTGGGAGGAAGCCCCACAACCAGTGCCCATATTGACCCATATCAGTCCATATCATGCACTGCTAATCATCAGAAAGAAAGCTTCGGACTCAAACTTTGTGCCCGCCACGAGTGAAAGCATCCTTCCAACTTTCAACTTCAAGTTGTGGAGTCCAAGTCAATCGCAGGCAGCTACGCCATTGTTCCACTGGCTATGCGCAAGGGTCAAAGTCTGAGACCCCACTCGCCCAAACCCTAAGTTTTTTTGCCCACTTGAGGTCGTTAATCCACGTTAATCCCACTTTTTTGGGGCTAACTATGGGCTAACTGTTAACTAAATCTGGCTTGACCATGCTCGATATGAAAAAAACTGGGATGGTCGAAAGCCCTCCATCCAGCCCCTTTTTTCCACGTCCACGTCGTGCAGCAGGTACCAGCAGGTTTCGCTCACACCTGCGTGGCCGAAAGGTTTTGCTCCATAGGATTCACCAAGCCCCTCCACCAGGGACGATCCTAAGCATGATGACTGGGCACCAATTTTACTGAAGCTTTTCCAATGGAAGTGGAAAGCAACCTGAAAAAACCCCCTAGATGATGTTCTAGTTATTCTAGTTGAACCGGTTTATCTTTGTGGCGTGTTTCCACTAGTTCTCATAGACTAGCTCGGGCGGCGCAGCGAGCTAACTGTTTATCCTTGATGAATGGCTCAACTGGCAGGACCTTCTGCCAGTCGATGCATCGGATCGGATCTTTGACCGGATCCTCCGTCGCAGGAAACATCGGGAAACACGAATCAAACGCCTTCGGATTCGCCAAAATTTGTCGGCGGCTTGCAGTCCATGGATCGGGAAACACGAATCAAACGCCTTCGGATTCGCCAAAATTTGTCGGCGGCTTGCAGTCCATGGATGGTTTAGGACAAATCAATCAGGGTTTGCACCTTCCATCATTCATTGTACGTATCATTTTGCATTAATATCCGCAATTTTCCAAACATTCTCCATTCATATCTCTTATTTTCAATTTTGTTTTTGATTTACTCAGCTGCTGGCGCTAGCAACATCATGGCTCCGAGTCATTTTAAGGGAACTAACCCTTTGGTAAAATCTGTGAATATGTAGTACTGAAATAGCATGTGAAATAACATTTTCTAGTCCTGTTCTAACTGGATATCTCTAATGAATTAACTGGATATCCCTAATGAATCACATATATATACATATATACATATACTACTGAATAATATTTACTTGGAGAGCAAACTCAATGATATTCCCATCAAGTCGTACTACAGTGGATTGTCTACAGCCGCACCTGCCACTGGGAATAGTACTCAAATATTATATAATATTACGATATATACTAGATTAACACTACATTACACATCATTACACGACAATAGGCGGTGAACATGTATATATATATATATATTGCAAGGAACCCCCCCAAGCGCTCGTTTCATCCATGGCCTCTCCAACCCTTGGGTGGCTGAAGCTGCAAGTGAAATGTGAGACTAAATAACGTGGCCGAGACGGGAACCAGCTGCAACGCCTTTGACGGAACCCGGACATACCCTGCTTTACCTGCGCCAGCCTGTCGTAAAAAAAAGGGGCTAATCTGAAGCGAACCTGATCGATGCAGTCGGACTCTAGGACAATTTCCGGTGACTGCTTCCCCTGGTGGTTTCAATCCCTCTGAAAAATATGAAAGTCAGATTGGATCATCATCCCAGCTATTGGGGAACATATGGGAAAATCAAAAAAATGTTCCAAACCACCAACCAGTTCCCAGGATGCAACATGTCACAACATGTCTCATTGGCCAGGCGACCCACTCAAAAATTATAGGATGAGATGTCCCTTCAATATCTGGTTGGTGGTTGACCTACCCCTCTGAAAAATGATGGACTTCGTCAGTTGGGATGATGACATTCCCAAAAAAAATGGGGAAACATGTTCCAAACATTTCCAACCAGATATCAGGAAATCTTTTTTGTGGGGTGTTCTTTTGCACCACGATCAACATGGCTTTGTCTGGAAATGTAGCACCCAAAATTCCACTGATGAACATCAGCATGGGAACCCATTTCAAAGTGCTGTTTGGGGTATACAAACCATGTTCAAACATCCGCTATCATATAGCTGGTTCTACTTACATATGTATATGTATCTGTGTGTATCACGACTATCCTAGTAATATCTTCAATGGTTAAACCCGTTCTTGATGGTTGACTTTTACCAACAAAATTCAGCCAGGATGTCATATCAAGTTGGTTGTATACCCTACTGTCTCACCCTTGTAACCCCATTATCCATCATTGTGCCACATTTTTTGTTGTTTAAGTTCCCATTTGCACGGCCTATTTCCACATACAATCCACATCTGGATGTATCATGTCAAGTTGATCCAATTGCATCCTCCGAAAACGCCTGTTTTCGGTTGCTGGAAAACACCATTTTTTATTCGCTCGATGATAAAGGATCAGTACCACATCAAGTTGATTATACCCACCAACAAATCCTCAAACATAGCCAAACATAGCCAAAACAGTTACAGTTACAATAGTTATTACTGGATAGATTTCACCATAGTTATAGGGGCCCCATATCCCAATTTATGGAGATATATAACCATCTCTCTCTCAACCGCTTTCTCGAAATAATTACAACATTAGTTAAGCTAAGGGTTTATACTCATATATAGCTATATCAGTTATATCAGTTATATCAGCTATATCCAGTAAACAACCGGGAACATCCAGGTCCAGGCGGCAGCACGACGACCAAAGCGCCCGCTTGCGCCGTTTCACGTCACGCCCGGCCCTGACGGCTTGGTTTCGTTCCTTTCCTGCGACGGAAAGGGACCACTCTCCCGCAATACGAGTATGCCCCAAGCATACAGGTACAGCTCCAACCATACATGTATATATATATACACAAAATATTATTATATATTATGTATGTGTATGTATCTATACCGTTCTATACATATTTATAGTTTAGCTTTATACATATCTATATAATATCCGAATCCTGGAACCTACCTTCCAATATTGAAATTTATGAAATGAAGAAAATGACTTGTTTTGACCATAGATCACCATAGATCCTTCTTCTGCACAACGACAAGCCCTCTTGTGTTTGCTCCGCCAAACTGCCCTCACAGTCTAGTTTGTGGCAGGACACCAGCGGCTGTGGCTGGGTTCCCAGGTCATTTTTATCAAAGTCAAACATTGCCACCAATCCCCAATTTGCGGTTTGGCAAATTGGGCATTCCCCTACTTGGGAAGATTTATAGCCTCAAATTAACATAATTGGAACTGGTAAATTGGATTGTGGATGTGCAAATCAGTAGTAACATCATTAACAACAGCTTTCTGTAAGTTATCACTTTTCCAAGACCTAGATATCATCTTTTATTCATCAATCAAACATAACCAAACCATTTAGTAAGGGTAAATTATTTGGTAATTCACCAGCCTGAAATGTTGGCCTTCTTCGGGATAATTCCCCGCAATCCTAACCATGATTCCAGTGAGGGAAAAAAGTGAGGTCACTATAATTTACCCAATTAATTACTTAAATACCCGAGTCAACCTATATTTTTTTGTCGCTCAAGTCATCCATCCCTTCTGGATAAATTAGAATAATTCACGAAGCTTGTTGAAAAGGCCACTCGGGAGAGTTACCCCTTGGTAATTTGGTACAGCTTGCTATGGTATACATGGTCTATTTAGTTCCGTTTCTTAATTAATTGTTCCATTCTTTACCTTTCAGTTTCACCACCATCCAGCGACAATCCCTCCTTGTGCAGCACCAGCAGGGCATGCTGCTGTGCCCGCAGTTCCTCAAAGGAACACTCGAAGTCCCAGAGACTCTTCGGCTGCCGTTCCACTGTGACTTTCTCGACCTGAACTTATCAGGGCTTCTGAATCGAAAAATCCATGGACAAATGGATCTCAAATTTCAAAGAAGTGCCCAAAAACCCCACATCATCCCGTTCTACCAGGTGGTTGACAGGGGGTTCTATCTTGGAGATTTAACGCCATTTCTCTTGTGAAATTCGATATTTGGGCTCATTGAAGAACATGAAAGCAAATGAAAGCAACAAACATGGGGATTAAGCCAGCAAAAACAGGAGCAGTTTCCGGCAAACATGATCCCAGCCATAAACCGCCATGGGGGACTTCCCAGCTGTGTCGCTGGCGGTGGGGATCTGGGTGTGCTACCGAAACCAGTGGATTTAAGGAGACTAAGGAGACCAGATGTTCAGACAAACCTATATGGACATTAAATACCCTCCAGCAAACTAGCGTAGATGTCGAAAAACAATAGAGAAACCCGATCGGAAAATAATTAACAAATGGCGGGTTTTTCATATCTATGTGAATTTACTGCAAGATATTGGAATTTACCAGGAATTTTGATGGACAAGGAAGGGACAAATATGGAACTTTTCAGCTCATTCTGCTTACCAATCATCTGCTGCAACTTGGCATTGGAACATCCGTTCCACATGATTATGTAGAAGGACTCTGAAACAGCTGGGTTTGTCTGAGAATAGGGTACTCCAAAAGCATTCCTAGTTGATAATCATTTTCCCATTAGAAGCGCCATTTTGTTGACATACCCTATTCTCAGACACACCCATATTCATTGACCTATTGTTGAAAGCAGGTTGCCAGGTTTTGCAAATCTGGAGGACATGGCAAGGATCAATAGTGTTCAAGGCCTGCTCATATGACAGTAACAGTATATCACATTCTTGGGATAGTGCCTTAAGTTGGCTGCACGCAGACCTCAAACATGTTGAGTACCTCCAATGTGGGCACAGTAGCCGAAAATTCCCGCTCGTAATTATCCTTACATTAAACTCTATATATATATGTCTATTGAAACGTGACAAATAATGCGGCAAACTGGCCATTTGGGGATGCTTTTTCCCCCAGTCCGTTCGCGTGAATTCATTTTCAAACAGCTGGCTCTATCACCGGCTGCGTCCAAGTAACAGGCAACGAACCAGTGTAGACTTCCTTGATTTCCTGATGGCTGCGAAAAATGGCGGTGACTAGCGAAGGAGCAACCTTCGGTCAGTGTATTACATGGCTATGCGTGGAAAAAAACAATCTTTGAATATGTAGTAATAATAACAATAATAGTAGTAATAATCATACTGTCAGTAATAATAATCATATTAACAATACTAACAGCAAGAATGGAAATAAAAATAATGTATATATATATATATGTAGATGTGTGTTGGCCTATATTATAACATTATATATATACCTGCATAAAATGAATAATAGTAATATATATATATATGTATAGATACATGCACCTCATGTGTATATATGCATGTATATATGCAAATAACACTATATAGGGAAAATATATGCCGACACAAAGACACACAACTATGAAATCCTTCAACATACAGCAGCTGCACATCAGAGCCCCACTGGCCCTGCCCTGGCCTTCTTTGTCACCTCCGGAGGACTGATATGATCTTTAAAGACCTTTCGTCCACCTGAGATCCGGTGGAGTTTTCCGTGGTAGACATTCACAGTGTGCGAACTTGAAAATGGCCATAGAAATAGTTGATTTACCCATAAAAATGGTGATTTTCCATAGTTATGTTAGTTTACCAGAGGGTACCTTGCTTGTATGTCATTGCTTTTTAACAACTATGTATACATAAAACTCGATATCTAAATGTATGTTCCATGTGTAATCATTGCGGATCGTATCGATATGTGGGATCTTTGCCGGTCCTGTGTAGGGTGATCATGAGATCAGTCAAATAAATTCAACTAATGGTTAACTGGGGCTATATTCACACATGAGGTAGACCCAAGGGCATAAAACATCTCCAATTGGGGTCTATTATTGGGAATGCTCTTGTTTGGGACGAGCCTACAATGGTCTCCTTTTTGTGGTTGGTTGATGGCCTTGTATGAAGCGGAGTGGAGTATCACAAGGAGGTTTCCCAGGAATCCAAACCCCAACACAAACCACCACTGAAAACCACTGGATGATCAGTCCCACAACATCCCACAACCACAAAAAACAATAACAACGCTATACAAAAACAAATAACAACGCTAGAGACAAAACAAACAACTCTTTGTGAACATCTTTGGGTAGCCATTCCCACCAAAAAAAAAACGACACCAGGGCGTGAACGGCAGTTGATTGAGTCGTTGGGGACGCCTGTTAAGATAGCCCCTTTATGGGCCCATACCCAAACATCTGCATATTATATATCCCAGTACATCTAGTCATTAGAATGATTCAGGGGAAGTCTTCTGTTTATGAGGCTTTCTGGTAGATGAATGTTCCTGAAGTTTCCAATAGTCCCAAGCAGGTTCCACGGTTCCCTCGACAGTATGTCTAGCGGGATTTCATATTCCTGCATGTTTGGCAGAAACTAGGTTGATATCAAATCCCAATCAAGGCCACATTTCATGGGCCCATTGGTCCACACTTCGGCTCGATTACATACCCTGAAGAGCATCTACATCCATCTGCATCTCATCTTATGATATACCCTCTGGTAAACTAACATAGCTATGGAAAATGGCAATTTATAGTTGATTTACCCATTAAAAATGGTGATTTTCCATAGTTATGTTAGTTTGCCAGAGGGTAACCAGTTGTATATCCTTCAGATTCCCCGCCTGTGGAACTATGGAATGGAGAGTGCACCAGCAAAGAACTTAGCAACCACAAAATCGCTGGCCACCTCCAGCCCATCGCAATCATAATAAACATCCCAGCCTATACGGTCGCCCCCATAGATTCGATAGCTAGGGTTAAGGGGGATATAACTATAGTCAAGGGGTTTTGTAAACCTTAACTTCTAACTGGGGAACCCCCCATATTACCAAACTATTCCCGCCCCCCAAAAAATACCAACATGGGACCAACCAATCCCGGCTTAGCCAGTCAGTAGCTGAGCCACAAACGGCGCGTGTAGCTTGGACGCATCGGTTCACTTCGCTCAGTGCCACTCGCCCGTCAAAGTTGGGATCCAAATCCTTGGAAGAACACCGTGCTGCAGAACTTGGGCGATGAACTAATCATGGAACTAAGTTAATGATAAATATTGACTAATCATTGGACAATGAACTGATGGATTATTGTTTGTTGTTCATCAGCAACACATATAACATTGTATCATCATTACTGGTTGGTGGTTGACCTACCCATCTGAAAAATATGACTTCGTCCAGATGGGATGATTATTCCATTCCCAATATATGGAAAGTCATAAAATTCATGTTCCAAACCACCAACCAGATATCTCATTAACCATTATTAACCACTATTAACCACCATTGTCTGATGAACAGCGCTTCATGGTGAATGGAACTTCCCTGACCCTCGTTCCAGTGATTCGCAATGGGGGCAACGCGCAACTGAAACGCTAAGATGGGCACCTTTGGCAAGCCCAAAAAAACAGCGAGCCCCTACACGAAAACATTAAAAAAACACATGTAAACGATATTTTCTATCCTAGATTGGGCCTTGCTATGCATCCACTTACCATCTATATTCCTGTATGACTCCAATCTCCCAATCTATGGTTGTTTTATGCCCCCTATGTTTGTTGCTTAAACTCCCCAATTCTTCTAGATCAAATGTTTGGCATTGGTAGGAGATATTATTAATTTTTGAATGATTCTTCCAATATTGCTGGGATAAGAGGATAGCCCTCATTAAGAAATAAGAAAACCAGTCAGTGTGTTCCCCATCAATCTATTCCACATCGTTGTCCCCAATAAACCACTTAGATTACTGACCCACTGTATTAACCATTCCACGGCATCTTTTCAGTGGTGAAATCCCATTTATATTCCCTTTTATTTAGTCGATATATAGTCACCATTGACTGGTTCGATACATCTATCATAAAACCTTTTAACATTATACAGTTAACAAACTTGGCTACTTCTCGAAGCACTTTGTACCCACTTGCATCCCTTTATATTCCCACTAATGTGGGTAAAACAATGTCATAAACCACCCATGACTGGGAATGGATTATTTATACCACCTATAAAAATGGTGACTGTGGGATGGTTTATATTAACCCTCTGGTAAACATACAAGAAACTATGGACAATCACTATTCTTCATGGGTAAATCAACTATGTCTATGGCCATTTTCAATAGCAATCTGTTGCAGTCCAAGAGAGGATAAATCCCATTAATATCCATTATCATCCCTATTGCCGTAAACCATTAATATCCCACTATCATCCCCATTAAACCATTAATATCACATATATAATCATCCCTATTAAACCATGAATACCCCATTATCATCCCTATTGAACTATTAATATCCAATTATTATCCCTATTAAACCATTAATATCCCATTACCATCCCATTAATATCCCATTGTCATCCCTATTAAACCATGAATATCCCATTATCATCCCATTAATATCCCATTATCATCCCTATTAAACCACTAATATCCCATTATCATCCCATTCATATTCCATTCTCACCCCTATTGAACCATGAACATCCCATTATATCCCAAAATCATCCCTATTAAACCATGAATATCCCATTGCCATCCCATTCATATCCCACGATCACCCGTATCAAACCATGAATATCCCATTATCATCCCATTGATATCCCATTATCATCCCTATTAAACCATGAATATCCCATTATCATCCCTATTAAACCACTAATATTCCACGATCATCCCGATTAAACCATGAATATCCCATTATCATCCCATTCATATCCCATTAACATCCCTATTAAACCATTAATATCCCATTACCATCCGATTAATATCCATTATCATCCCATTCATATCCCACCATCATCCCTATTAAACCATTAATATCCCATTACCATCCCATTAATATCCCATTATCATCCCTATTAAACCATTAATATCCCATTATCATCCCTATTAAACCACTAATATCCCATTACCATCCCTATTAAACCACTAATATCCCATTAACATCCCTATTAAACCACTAATATCCCATTAACATCCCTATTAAACCATGAATATCCCATTATCATCACATTCATATCCCATTAACATCCCTATTAAACCATTAATATCCCATTACCATCCGATTAATATCCATTATCATCCCATTCATATCCCACCATCATCCCTATTAAACCATTAATATCCCATTACCATCCCATTAATATCCCATTATCATCCCTATTAAACCACTAATATCCCATTACCATCCCTATTAAACCACTAATATCCCATTAACATCCCTATTAAACCATGAATATCACATTAACATCCCTATTAAACCATTAATATCCCAGTACCATCCCATTAATATCCCATGATCATCCCTATTAAACCACTAATATCCCATTATCATCCCTATTAAACCACTAATTTCCCATTATCATCCCTATTAAACCACTAATATCCCATTATCATCCCTATTAAACCACTAATATCCCATTAACATCCCTATTAAACCACTAATATCCCATTACCATCCCTATTAAACCACTAATATCCCATTATCATCCCTATTAAACCACTAATATCCCATTATTATCCCTATTAAACCACTAATGTCCCATTATCATCCCTATTAAACCACTAATATCCCATTATCATCCCTATTAAACCACTAATATCCCATTATCATCCTTATTAAACCACTAATATCCCATTAACATCCCTATTAAACCACTAATATCCCATTAACATCCCTATTAAACAACTAATATCCCATTATCATCCCTATTAAACCACTAATATCCCATTATCATCCCTATTAAACCACTAATATCCCATTATCATCCCTATTAGACCACTAATATCCCATTACCATCCCTATTAAACCACTAATATCCCATTACCATCCCTATTAAACCACTAATATCCCATTATCATCCCTATTCAAACACTAATATCCCATTACCATCCCTATTAAACCACTAATATCCCATTACCATCCCTATTAAACCACTAATATCCCATTATCATCCCTATTAAACCACTAATATCCCATTAACATCCTTATTAAACCACTAATATCCCATTAACATCCCTATTAAACAACTAATATCCCATTAACATCCCTAATAAGCCAATAATATCCCATTAACATCCCATTCATGTCCCATTATCATCCCTATTAAACCACTAATATACATACCATTATCATCCTTATTAAACCACTAATATCCCATTATCATCCCTATTAAACCACTAATATCCCATTAACATCCCTATTAAACCACTAATATCCCATTATCATCCCTATTACACCACTAATATCCCATTACCATCCCTATTAAACCACTAATATACCATTATCATCCCTAAACCACTAATATCCCATTATATCCCTAATTAAACCACTAATATCCCATTATCATCCCTATTAAACCACTAATATCCCTTTCCTCCCTATTAATAAACGCACTACTATCCCATATCATCCTAATTAAACCCACATATCCCTTATCATCCCTATTAAACCACTAATATCCCATTATCATCCCTATTAAACCACTAATATCCCATTAACATCCCTATTAAACCACTAATATCCCATTACCATCCCTATTAAACCACTAATATCCCATTAACATCCCTATTAAACCACTAATATCCCATTATTATCCCTATTAAACCACTAATGTCCCATTATCATCCCTATTAAACCACTAATATCCCATTATCATCCCTATTAAACCACTAATATCCCATTATCATCCTTATTAAACCACTAATATCCCATTAACATCCCTATTAAACCACTAATATCCCATTATCATCCCTATTAAACAACTAATATCCCATTATCATCCCTATTAAACCACTAATATCCCATTATCATCCCTATTAAACCACTAATATCCCATTAACATCCCTATTAAACCACTAATATCCCATTATCATCCCCATTAAACCACTAATATCCCATTATCATCCCTATTACACCACTAATATCCCATTACCATCCCTATTAAACCACTAATATACCATTATCATCCCTATTAAACCACTAATATCCCATTATCATCCCTATTACACCACTAATATCCCATTACCATCCCTATTAAACCACTAATATCCCATTATCATCCCTATTAAACCACTAATATCCCATTATCATATTAAACCACTAATATCCCATTATCATCCCTATTAAACCACTAATATCCCATTATCATCCCTATTAAACCACTAATATCCCATTAACATCCCTATTAAACCACTAATATCCCATTACCATCCCTATTAAACCACTAATATCCCATTATCATCCCTATTAAACCACTAATATCCCATTACCATCCCTATTAAACCACTAATATCCCATTAACATCCCTATTAAACCACTAATATCCCATTACCATCCCTATTAAACCACTAATATCCCATTACCATCCCTATTAAACCACTAATATCCCATTCTCAGCCCTATTAAACCATGAATATCCCTTTTTCATCCCATTCATATCCCACTAACATCCCTATTAGACCATGAATATCCCATTATCATCCCATTCATATCCCATTAACATCCCTATTAAACCATGAATATCCCATTATCATCCCATTCATATCCCATTATCATCCCTATTAAACCATGAATATCCCATTATCATCCCATATCAGAGGCTTTCCGAATGGGTGAAATCTCCATGACTTTCCGAAGGTCGTTCATCAAGTCCGCCATCTCTTGCGCTGAACACTGGCCCCGCTCCACGATGCCCAAGCGTTGCCTAAGAGCCACGCTTAGCCGCGAAAGAAACGTCGCGAAGATCGCGAAGTGGAATGCACATGTCAATAAGCGTAAAAACTGCTGACTATATGTTATACATATTCGTACCTATGTGTAGGTACACGTGTGCATGTCGATCTTCATGTATGCCTGTGCGCCTGCAGAATGTGTGCAAATAAATATGTATATAATATATATATATATGTATGTATATGTGCACGGGTGTGATTGTAAACATATCCAGGAGAAAACGATGAAATGCATGCATCAAAGATGATGATGTATCAAAGCTTTTTCTGGACGGCCTACCTAGCAGATAGAGCTTGATAGTAAAGCTCTCCGGCAAAGTAGCACAGGTGGAGTAAACAGCCAGTTGGCTCAGTGGCGCAGCCACCAAACTAGGGATGTCGTGGTAAGTACGGTAAAACTTTGAAACAAACCCAGAATACACAAAATAATGCCCAACGTGGCAACATCCGAAGGGCAAATCATCAATGGGCAAATCATCCAGATTGATATATATTCTGAGGATTCCGGGCGCAACATGGTGCAATTTCACGAGCGTACATGCGCCATCATACACCAACTTTCGACATCAACGACCTGTTGATTAGTGCAATGTCAATAATGCTGGATAGCTATTAATGTATGTTGTAAGAACATGATATGAATATGTGATGTACATACAAAAAATGAATACCCTATTTTTTACTTAACATAGTTATGGAAAATCATCATGTTTAAGAGGAAAATCGTGGGAATACCATGGTAAACTTTCCCCTCAAATCTTCCAATCAAACTGTTTGGGTCTGTAACATACATGTGTTGAAACACAAATACTGTGTGTGTATATGTGTGTGTGGACCCATTCTGCACCCCTTCTGCTTCGATGCCATAACTCCATGACGTGGCTGCGGCCAAGAAACAAACCTTCCAGAAATTCATGAGGCTCCAAGATACCTAGCTGCATGGGGCTTCGCAAAATGCTTGGACACTAGTTGGTGCCCTACAGTGATCATAGTGATCTATCTTGGCAATGGACAGTCACTTTTTTGATGGACAATTTTCTCATATTCAACATGTTCTTGTATGTTGTTTTTCACTGCCATGCGAAATTACCAGAGGTTAAATGAGTGTAAAAGCATCTTATTGGAAAATAGCAGGTTGTCACTTTTTAGGAGCAACCGTCAACCTCCATAATTAATGACCCACCAGCGTTTGTCGATCTGCGGTTGATATTCCAACCATATAAGGGGAAAAAACTCTACCTGCATGGCATCTGCGCAGCTTATTCAATCAACTATCCATTTGTTCAGGCAAGTGACCTATCCGTTTTTCTATCCGTCATATGTAAACATTGACAACGCAAAAACCGGCACATCTTATCCATCCAAACCGAAGTCCTTCGAATGATCTTCAGCATACATCCATCACATGGCCCAACATAGCCATGGAAAATGGTCCATTTATAGATGGTTTACCTATTAATAAATGGGGGATCTTTCCATGGCAAACTGTTAGTCATAACCAGAGGGTAAATATTTTGAAAAAAATCATTTAGATCACAATGGTATCCATTCTTTTTTTAAAACCACCATTTATAACCATGGTATCATCGATAACCATTTATAGACACCATGGTATCTATTTCTTCATGAGAATAACCATGGTATCCACTGTATCTAATTATACATATCCATCGGAGCCGCGCCTGGAATGCCATGGTTGACGTATTTGGAGCCGCGCCTGGAATGCCATGGTTGACGTATTTGAAGAGGTGCTTCAGATTGGCGCGCCGCTTCCTCATGACCTCGGGATAGGGCTGAATTTTGTGGGACCTTCATGATGGATGCCAGCAAATTTTGGTTGCATGATATATGTATCTATGATGTATATATAGTATATTAAAATACATATATATACATAACATAACATAATATAATATGATATAAGAATTATAGTTATAATATCATGATGTATATGAAATCTGTATATGCCACCTGCATATGATACTCATCACTCCTGCAACAACATCTGGTATTGCCCAAATCTCGAGCCAAGATTTGAAGATGCCGATGCCGTCCCAGGTGCACTATGCAAACTCAGAAAAATGTGCTTGGCCAGGGCAGTCAGACCGGGGAAGGTTCCCTTGGGCGGCCATGAGTTGCCGTGATCTAAAAACACTGGTCAACTAACAGTTTGCTATTGGAAATTACCATGTTAAAGAGGTAAATCACCTAAAAATCTAAAAATGGACCATGTTCCATAGCTATGTTAGTCTACTGGAGGGTAGTGGTTGGGATATGAATTTCCCAAGAGTTGGGGTTAACCTCACATAGAAAGCAGCTACTTGAAATCAGCAGCCAAAGGCGGAGCCAGCTGGCAAATGGAGATGGAAGCAACGCCATCTTTCAGTTTGCGTTTAAATCATACATGTGGGTTCTGACTAAGTTTCTCAAATATAGATACGGCAAATGAAACATAGCTGGTTCAAGAATGCATGTATTAAAAAAATGCATCATATGTCTATCTATGTGTAGAAGATTGAATATGTATGTTTTTTTTTGTGAACATATTCGGCACACATGAGTGTCCCTGCACATGTTGGGAAGAGCCCAACGCCCACTACTTGATGACAACTTTTTGTGTGCATTGCAGTATAAAAGAACAATAAATAGTAATAAATTGCCGGTATAGCCCGTCTTGAAACACACCCAAGTATCATATCAAGTTGGTCGTGTATCCTATCAATATCCCCATCATCTTCCCATAAGCCAGGCAATTTTACATACAGTATCAGCATTGAATCATGTCCATCCATATCCCATGGTAACCCACCCATTGCAGCCAATGTTCTGTTGGTTAGATCTCACGTTTATTGTCAGCCAGAATTCGGTTTACCTGATATAACATATAACATATAGATCTGATTAAGATTGATATACCCTTCATCAATCCAGCATCAGTGGTATTAATTATAGATACCCTTGATTATATAAATCGTTGTTTGTTGGTTGTCCCCATGTTTGATTGTTATTCAGAATGTAAAACATTATGGTTAATATTCAAATAACCAATGTTATCCAGTTCAAATGACTATTCAGCAATATGTTAACCATGTTTATTCAATACTACTGTTGATCATGGTTAATATCCCAACTTCATCGCCCAATTCCTGGCGAAGCCCATCTTTCTTGGTTAAGTCAACCATGGCCAGAATGGTGAAATTTCCAAACAAAAACACCATGAGAAACCCGAAGAATCGCACAATGAATCCCCTTGAAAAACTGATTTAACTGACTGGTTACAACTAAATTACATTGACTGGTTAATGATATTGGTTAAACACTATCCCCACTATCAATGGTTGATATCCTCACTGCTGATTAATATACAGTACTATCACCAACTGGTATCCTTGACAACAATTCACTCACCTGAAAATAGTTGTCATCATACGGCTAATTTGAGGATGATTCCCCCAATACATTGACCATCATTGAGTGGTTTACAACTAGATCATATCACATAATACCATTAAAACAAAACGCAAAACATAGCAGTAATCCAATGCTATCATTTTTCCAAATCTGAATCATATATGGTATTGGATTATCACATAATACTCATAATACCATTAAATATTCCAAAATCTGAATCCAATGGTATCATTTTTCCAAATACTTCTTATATTTTGGTTATATATATCTTCAACCAGTAATCCATATCTTGATATAAGTTGGTTTTATAATCCATATCATTTTTCCAAATGCCAGTTATATATCCCAAGATATCTTTAATCATATATTGATCGCAGTCAGCTGCTTCAAAAGCGTTGATCTCCTAGGGATCCCGCACCGCACCTCCCAGGCGGAGCGGACCGGAGCCTTCTCAGCGTCCTTGGTGGAAACATGTGGTTTATATATACATCTATGTATATGATTGTATATGTATATATATATATCTATATAATGTGACCAAATGGTGGTTTCATAATGTTTAATTCATGTGGTTTAAATTATGTAGATGTGGTCCGGTTTAAGGTGGTTGAATGTGGTTTAATGTGGCTGCTTTTGTGGTTTTTCATGTGGTTTTGACCTGGAAGAATTGATGATGTACAGCCAAACAAAACAAATGATACGTAAGTTTTGTTCAACATAACTAGACAATAAAAACCAGTGCAGATTTATGGTGAGTATATCAATTGATCTAGTTGGGAACGGCGCTGAGAGGCACCTGGTGGTTTTAAGGGGGTTTGCGTGCACTTCCCAATGTAACTGTGAAGGCAGCCTTGCACGCCTGTTTTTTTACTTCTCAAAAACTACTTCAACCATGCAACAATTTCAGCGTAACATGAACATGAACGTTAACATCCCACCCCACCCCACACCACCCCATGATCAACGTAGCATCATCAGCGTTAACATGAACATGAACGTTAACATCCCACCCCACCCCACCCCATGATCAACGTAGCATCATCAGCGTAACATGAACATGAACGTTAGCATCTCACCCCACCCAACCCCATGATCAACGTAGCATCATCAGCGTTAGCATGAACAATGAACATGAACGTTAACATCCCACCCCCCCCATGATCAACGTAACATCATCAGCGTAACATGAACATAAACGTTAACGTCCCACCCCACACGACCCCACCCCATCATCAAACAAAAACAGAAAAACCAAAAAAAAGACAACAAAACACCCAGGCGCCCTGCAGCGCCCATGGCATCTAGCTAGATTGGGTAACATCAACAAATTAAGATATTTAGGCGGCCTGTTCCAGCATGCAATTTACAAGCTGCACATGTCCCTGCCATTCCCGTTTATCCTTTTAACATCTTTTAACCACCAAAGATTGTGAAAACTCATATGCACAAATGGCTGTGTAAAAAAACAGGCGGAAATCAATGCATGAGTCACATACTTTTCAGCTTATTTATTATTCAGGCAAAATATGAATCAAGCATAGCCCTGGGCACCATGCCATACGGATGTTGGTTGAGAACGGATCCTGCTTCTTGTGGGTTACGAAAAAGGTACTGTACTGACAATAGGCCCCAATAGCCCAAACAAATAATCGCAAGAGGGGTCTTGTTCATGGCTCAAACTGAGAACTGGCAACCTCTTGGAGGTACAGAAGATGCTGAATCCAAATGACGTTTGTCAAATCAATGACGACCAACCCCACCCAATGACTACCAATGACTGGTAGATCAAATTTCAATGGATATCAATCCAAGAAAACCCTGATTTATTTGGGAGCGACACATTTTCGGGGCCACACTTCCATGTTCGGCCCATATTTTTGTGCAGCGTGGCATGACTTTGAATTGGCCACGAGCTGTCTTTTGTTTGGTCCTTTTGACGTTGGATCCAATGAAAATGGGGGTCTCCCAAAAAAATTCATTGCACTGTGCTGGAAGCTTGCCTTACAACCTACTACCTGAAGATAGCAGCCAACCTCATCAACTCTACATCAACATCATCAGGGCTGTTTCCTATCACATCTACCATGTTGATCCACCGCGGCTAAGCTTAGGACAGCACCAATGTCCCTGAGTTCGTTGATCATTTCCTCATTGGGCCAGCCCGAATTCTTCTGCAAGGGATTGGCAAAGCGCCCCTCAAATTGACCTCAGCCGAGGAAGGTGAAACCAGGTGAAACCAATGGCTGGAGCCCACACCAGAAACATCCAGAAACAAACTATCCAAACACCCGTAATATGTGGCCACCATTGGCCACCTCCAAATATCACTGACACAGCCTGACACAATGTTTCGAGTTTGGGTGCCAGATATTGTCGCTCTGCGTAGTTTGCGGCTGAGGCACCTTGTTCAAACCTAGCTTGTTCAATGAAGGCCTTGGAGCGCGAAGCGCTGGTGCAATATCAAAACCTTCCAAGGTGGCAATGGGAAATCCCTTATGAGCACCGTAGTTCAACATCAACACAGCTATAATCTGGTTCTGGTGCTGTGTACATACCCCGCTTGATCGAGTCAAGGCATATAAAGGAAAACTATCGGTGCCAGGACATTTGCTGGGCATCCAGAATTCCAATAGATCACCACCAGCTTCGGAATGAACCTTGCAAATTGCGTGGTGTCCCAAAATCTTTGACAAATCCTGCTCAAACTTGAGTTTTGATATCCTTGTTTCTGTCATTGGGTGTACTATTCCCCTGTTAGATCCTCATATCACAATAATAATATTTTGAATTAGATCATCTTAAATCCCCTTAAATGGCAGGTTAAGTCACCAACGTTCAGTGCTTTGGGCTGCTTAAATCCATGGTTTCCCGCCAAGGTCGTGTCTGGATTTCCATCTTGAACGCTTTTTGTCCAAGGTGCTTCCTGATCGCGTTTTCGCATCGCATTCTTCCTGAAGATCAGCGCTGAAGTGGCGTGGAACTGTGGGAATTGTCAGCCCGAGAAAGTGGATCATACAAAAAAAAACATGTGTTCTGGCAAAATGTCTATTATAACATATTTTGCAAGGATGTACATAATGCAAATTATTGCACTCAAAGTAGCCAAAGCCGAGCACCCCACCCTGGCCCCCAAGACCCATGGCAGCCTCGCGTGTGTAAAGCGCACAACCACTTGAACATCCATTAGCGTTATAACAGTTATCGCCGTCCACAGCGTCTTCGCCAAAAAATGCTCCGTTTCTGATGGCGATATAACATGTGTACTTGCAATTTAGCTATTTAGATCTGTCTACACATACCTTTGTATGTATTTGTCAGCATTGTCATTGACATCATAATTATGTAATATATCCATTCAAATCAACCACCTCATGGGCTAGCAATGGCTATGTAGTAGTTGGAACTGGATAGCCTGGGTTCGGGTTCCCAAGTTGTAACACCCCCCTGCGAATATCTGGATCACGAGTGATACCCTCCTGTAATTTAACATCGCTATGGGGAATCACCATCTTCAATAAGTAAATCAACGACATATAAACTGGAAATCGACTACAGCTGAGCCATTTTCCATAGCTTTGTTAAATTACCAGAGGAAATTTCATGGGTACTTCTAGTAAACACATGGTGGGACACTTGGTCGGATTGCAGAAACATTCCAAAAAACCAAACATCAAGTTCCTTCCCAACCCCAACCATCCCAGCAGTCCATTATCCCCGACCCATCCCAATTCGTCAAACTAGGTGAACACAGTTCAACAGTAAAAAAATCCGCCCTTTGGGATTTTTAATGCCCATTTTTGATCCGTTAGCAGCCATGTGGATTTCCTTTATAATGGCTGTTCATACCGCCCTTTTTTAAGGGAAATCTGGGGGTTGCTACTTTCTTGGAGGATCATCCCACGGATTGTAGCTGGTTTTTTACTGCTAAACAATACAAAACATCTATATCTGGGTGTGACTGAAAATAAAGGGCCCCCAAAAGCATGGGTTTCATGTTTTAAATTCTCCAACAACTGAGTTGATTTGGGGTCCATCGGCTTTAAGAAAAACACATGTAGTGGTCCCATCTGGTACCTATCACCTTCCCATTCCATGCCCCATCAGCTCCTGGTCTTCAGGATGATCGCATGCGCTCGATTGCCCCTCACTGGTGTCTTGGACTTGGTGTCTTCGTGCTGCGTCAGTACCGTCTTGGCCACCGACTCCCTCCTCGGGAAGATTCCAGGAAGATGAGGCAAACTCATGCCACCCAGCATGGCAGTGGAAAACCTCCATTTGTTTTGCATCCGTGTGTGGACGATGTTGCCAAAAGACACTAGGCCAGGTTGCTTCATCCCAAAACATGGTTCATCTTTCATCTTTGGGTGGCGATCTGAAACTACAGGCAAAAACCAGAAGGTTTGCGGAAACATCCATGCACCGAAAAATGTTTTTCTACAATTTCTTCACATGGTTTTCGTGAAAATCGACGGGGTTTTCACCCCAATTTTGATAGTTCATCATCAATTTCAGTCCGTTTACCTATTAGAATGGCCATCTTTGGAGGTGTCACACTTGCAGCTGGTGGTGTCATGCCCCAAAGGGTTGAACAGTTGTGTATTTTCAGGTTTCAGCAAGGGTTAACCTAGTTATACCCAAATGGACTGATAAACCTAAAAGGGACAAATACAACCGCTAAGCAAGAGACTCAGCACCTTTTCCTCTGAGCCGCAACGCTGTAGTGAATGCTATATTACATGGGTTTTATGGTGGAGTGCAATTACACCCCCCTCAGGTGAGCCGGTCACGGCAAGGCTGCCCATTTACCAGGGCGAGGTCTTTAAGACCTGCCTTACCGCTCCTGGCTCTTTGCACGACCTGAGGAAACCCAAAACAGCGGCTATGATACAAAAACCGATCGTCAATGCAAGCAGTGTCACAACTTATCCCTCTTCCCACTCAACTCGGCCATGCCTGATGACTTTCTCATACCAGCGTCCATGCCACTTCTGCCACTCTCCAGTGTAACGGCGATCATCGTGGGAATGACTTTGCTGAGGGCGGTTGAGCCACTGACTTGCAGACGTTGATGATGAAGCTACCTCTACAGTGGATGTTCGGGCAACCGGTTTGGCGGTGCCTTTCTTGGAGGGACCTTGGCCATACGCACCAGTCTGCTCAGCTTTGCGCTTGGCCTCGTTTTGTTCGCGGGCCCTGTCAGACTGTTTCTTCTTCTCTGCTGCGTTCTGCTTGTACAGCTCTTCATTTTGTCCCTTAATCCACCTCAAATGACGTTCAGCATCATGAACAACAATGTTGTCAACACCAGTGCAAGACAACAAAAGATTGTGTCCAGGATTCCTGCTGAGGTAGTCAATGTACTCTTCTTCGGAGTAGATCTCGGTTCGGTACATGTAGAACCATGGCTGGTCGATGTACCTGAAAGACTTTGGGACATCATGACGGTTGGCCAAATCCAAGTAAACCAGCCTCATTGCATTGTGCTCCAGCTGGGATTGCTCAGAAATACCCATCTTGACCTGAGCTTTGGTGCGACCAGGCTTTGGCAAATGTGCAGATTTGAGGAGGTCGTACCTTTCACAATCGTACTCGTTCTCCCCCTCGTTCAGCACGCTCTCTGCGAATGTGGCGTCCTGGGCAAACCTGTCAGCCACAGACACATAGCCCAAACTCAAGGCACGGTCGAAACGACTCTTGGCCCTTGCCAATAAACCGGCTTCCGGACTTGAGCTTCCTCTTGCCTGATCGTCCAACAAACCCAGATTTTCAAGCTGGCCGTGTGTGATGCTCTGCAGGTACTCACCACGAAAATCATAGTACAAGCCCAGCTTGTGAAGGGCGGCCTTTCTTCGTTCTGCAATCTTGGTTCGATCGGCCTTGTTGATCCCTTCGAGCATCAATCCACACACATCACATTCAATCTGTCCCTTGAAAGTCTGTGCAAAACATCTTGAGCATTGCGTGACTTCGATCTTGACCAGCACCGGCTTCTTGTCCTCCTTCTTCACCTCTTTCTTCGAAGGTTGGTCATCGCCTTTAGGGCGAGACTTCTGCTTTGGCACCAGTGACTTTGATGTTGCTGCTGGCGTCTTTTTGGGTGACTCTGCAACTGGAGCTTTTGGATCTTTCTGCACTGCCTTTGGTGGTGCAACTTTTGGAACAGGCTCCAAGAAGGCCGCAGCCGATGATGCCGCAGGCACAGCTGCGGGCACGCTTGTCAGGGCTGCCTTCTTCTTTGCAGGTTCATCCTTTGCCGCTGCATCAACTTCTGAGGTCACAGCTTTTGGAACTTCTGGTGCATGAGGTGCAGAAGTCCCTTCCTTCGGTGATGATTTTGGAGGTGTCTTTGGCGGTGTCTTTGGTCCTTCAACCTTTGCTGCAGGAGGTTTCGGAGCTTCACCCTTTGGGGGAGGGGGCAACAGTCTGCTGCTTGCATATCCAGGCATACCGGCAAGTTGGGCCACATTTGGTGGCGGAGGCTTCACCTTCCCTGGGAAAAATGCTGTTGCAGTGGGCGCGCCAGTTGAGGCGGCCGGAGATGTGGAACCCGTCCTTTTTGATGCCTTGGCCTCAAAAGTCTCGACAAGCTGTTGGACTCCAACTTCTCCCCCACTGCTCGCTGCAGACTGTGCAATCTCCTGCTGGCGACGATAAAGATTCACCTTCTTGGCCGTGTCATCCACAGAGATGATGTATTGTGGCGGGACGACATCGCTTGTAAGAATGCCGTCGGAAGCTGTCCTGAAGAACACAATTCCAGCCTTGACAGCTTCTGCCATTGCAACCCTGATTTCAATGGGTCGCTCAGCACGCAAACCGCTCACATACTCTTTCTCATCAACACGAACGTCGCTAAAATAGGAGTGAGCTCTTCCTGACGAATTTCGTTCTCCTCCTCCAGCCACGAAGCCATTCTCAATGATGCCCTTCCAATTGCCTTTTGTAGTCCTGTGATAAACTACGCCAGGGCACATCTGAGGAGTGGTAATCTTTTTACCTTTGGCGTTCATTTTCTGGATCGCTGCTGCTCCAGACAGAGCATAGATTTCCACTGCGTTGAACGTGTCCTCAGCTGAAGCGGCATCCATGGCACGTTTCGTGTGCCCCTGCACTGCGCGGATCCTGATGGGCCAGTAGGCTAACCCTTTACGGGTTGCCTTCTGGTACCCGGCAATGCACTGGAACTCAAAACGGCACTTGCTGTCCCAGTAGAGCAATGAGATGAGCTCTTCAACAGTCATTCTGGGCAACTTGGCTGGCAGCATTTGGTTGAACATTCGAAAGAAATCATCAAGGTCAAGCCACATGTTTTCATCAAATCCAGAGGTGTCCTGACCAGGCTGTCCACGCGTCACTGCATTGACCTTAGTTTTGTGCCGGTCCATGCGGTCGGGAAATTTTTAGCTCCTTTGCCCCATCCATCTCCCAACAGGTCTTGACAATCAATTCGTAGGGATGGGAATCGACGACACAATGTTCAACAACTTCTGCATTGATGTTTTCGTCCAAAGTGATACGATACTTGTCAAGATGTCCCAATGCATGTTTTGGCACAATGGTACCCTTGATCTCGTTTTCTTGCAGGGGCTCACCAGCTGAGGTGGCCTGAGTTGAATCCTCCTGTGTCGCTGGAGCTTTCGCCTTGGGGTCAGGTGGAGCTTCATGGCTTGCCTTGGCTTTGCCGAAAGATGGGCCCTCGTGCCCATCGGGATCCAGAGCATCCCATGGGTCGCCTTCCTCATCATCATCTTCGGCGACACCAGCATCAGTCGGGCGATCCCTCAACTCCTCCGCTGTAAAGCTTTCTGGGGTCGAGACACTCGGTGCAGGCTTGTTCACCTTCTCCCGGAGAGAGTTGAGAACCTGCACAAACCTGACTGGAAGGTGCTCCATCTTTGGCGGGACATCGCGCATTGTAGCTTCACCTGCAGGGCGCCTGCGCTTGTACAAAGACAGGTTGTACTGAGGGATCAAAATGTCCGTCATGTGCAGCATGTGGAGAGTTGCCATGACATATCCGATCATCTCGCTTCGGTTGAGCTCGGTCTCGAATGCGTGAAAGTAGTCCCTGAGCTCAAGCCTCGGTGGAAGCATGTCATTCTTGATCCACCGAATCCGATCGTTGTCACTGGCAATCTCCTTGTGGAACCATTCTTTCAGACGTTCAATAAACGTCGTGAAGATGAGACTCAACCCATAAGTGAGCGGGTCGGGCTCGCCGATTAGGGCGGCCTGATCCACTCCCAACTCCTTGAGCTGATTGTTCCACCAAACAATGTTGCCTTTGACCCTGTCCATGATGGCATTCCAGTCACCCTGTGGTTCCCTCTGCCCCCAAATGGGAAGGGGTTCAACACCATATTCCCCACAAATTTCATTTCCAGACCAAAAGATCACCGAAATAACCCTGATGGCTGATCCATGAGAAGAATATTTTGCCATCAGCTCCTTGATCATGGAAATATTTGCTTTGCAGAGCTGTTGTAAATCCTTACCCCAGAGCATGTCATGACCGATTTCGAGAACCATGTCTGATTTTCGCAATCCCAGATCCTCCTTCAAGGTGTACTTCTTCAAAGTCTTACCCTTTCCAGTGATCAGAGCCAAAGTTGAATCGGAAGTCACCACATAGATGGTGGGCACGACGTCTACCGCCGGCCTTGATGTCCCAGGGACGTACTCAGTAGGTAAGCTCAGATCCCACAGTGAGTCATGTTCGAGCTCGGACAGATGGCGGATCTCCTTTGCCCACGGCACGTTTGTCAGGGCGTCAGTTGACATGGACTGCGCAGTGAAGCACTGCATGAATCCTGCAGCCAACTCAAGGTCCTCTGTCCTGTTGCCCTGTGCCAGGATGGTTGACGAAGCGAGGACCGTAGAAAAGATGTCCTCCCACCCTGCGTGCCTATCCCCCTGAACATCAAGGCACTTCCGAAAAGCAAGCCACTCCGACATGTTGCTCTGTTGGGGCACGGTCTTTAAACCGGCCGACTTGAGAGCCCGCACGTTCATCTTTTCAGCGATCGACAAGTTTGAATCTTCAGAACGTCGGCTCATGGCGGGCAAAGCTAACCTTTTCCTGTTCTTGGCGGTTTGTGCCCGGTTAGCTCTGGAACGAAAACAATCATGGATGAAGTCAGTCAACTTGAATGTGTAGTTCTCTGCAAGCTTCAGTGCAGTACCCCGGCTTTGACCATGAGTGTGGGAAC